GACGCAGGGCTCAAACCCACGAACCGTGAGATCGTTACCTGAGCTGAAGTCGGACGCTTAACCCACTGAGCCATCCAGGTGCCCCGCAAGTTACTGACTTTAAAATAAGCTTTTGGAAAAGAGCCCCTTTGTAGAGTTGGGGACTTTCAATTTCAGATGCTCGTGGGGACGTGAGAGAATGAAAAGAATCAGGTTGCAAAATACATCCTAAGTGAAAAGGCAAAAAGAAATGGGATTCTTGAGCATGAGAAGGAAGGGATCAGGGGCAATTCAATTATGGGGGTAAGTGGGGCACCTGGGTGTCTCAGTCGAGCATCAGACTCTCGATTTCAGTTCAGGTCATGATCTCACACAGCTCAGGTCGTGATCTCACCATTATGAGATCAAGCCCCGCGTCGGGCTCTTGGCTGGCACGGAGACTGCTTGGGATTCTCTCTCTCTCTCCCTCACCCTCTGCCCCGCCCCCACTTGCCCACGTGCGCTCTCACTGTCTCTGTCAAAAAATAAATAAATAAAAATGCATAACAGTAACAGGTGAGCGCCATTGCTCTCTCATGGTGAGTGTCAGGGATTTGGTTACGCGAGGGAAAGGATATCTTTATGGTATTATTCTGGGATGGACAGTCCTGTGGATTTTATTCCAAACATTCGCGGACTTTTCTTCGTCAGTCAGGGGCCCATTTCGAGAACTGAGAAGCGATTACGACAAGGTAGCTTGCCTGCCTTCAGGCTTTCTGGCATCCTTATGATCCTGAACCTGCAGGTGAGGCACCATTGTTTGGAATTTTGAGAAGCATGATATAGTTCAACAAATCTCTTTTATAATGCATCTTAGAGTAAAAAAGACTCCAAGTTCGTCATTTTTTCCATGTAAAAAACGAACATCATAAAATGCAAGCTATCTCGTATTAGTATAAAACTATAAATTACGCGTTCTACATCAGTAATATTTGATCATTTAGTGAGGGAAAAGATGTTATTTGGCGCTTGTTAAATTAGCGTTATTTTAGTCATTCATTCAGAAAGGATGGGAGTCCTCCTTTCCTAAATGATATTGCAAACCCTGATTTGGCATTTCCTTAAAAACAGTGTAAAACAGCGAAGTGACAGCCGTAAATCTGCCACTGGGAAACTGACGTGGTTCACGGCACTCCCAGGCCTTGGCTTAACAGTTGGTTTATGATGTAGTTTTAGAATAACACTTTTCGAGCCTGGTATTCTTCCTCCAGAACTGACATGAATCCATAAAGCTTTCTAATGATGACTCTAAAATACACCAAAAGTACTCTCTGTAGCATATTTTTTGGTCTGTTTATCTAAAACCCTTCGCTTTCTGAATTTCTGTTCATGATCTGCCTTGGGAGGACGGTCGCCCCTCTAGCTGAAGAATGCATAATGGCTCACCCGCCGGGACCGCCCAGCTACCTCCTCGGCCAGGTGCGCCGTCCTGCCTCGGCTTAGGCTCCCGGGATCGCAAACCCCTGTGTGCACAAGCATCGTCTGGGGAACCTGTTCTACCTGCCGATTCTCAAGACCCTCTGAATCGAGCCCTCAGAGCTAACTTCTGGAGCTAGGCCCGGGAACCAGCATTTTAGCAGAGAAATGTTATCGGGGGCTCGGTTCGGCCCACTCTCTGGAAGCGTAGTAACTGAAGGTGGCTCAGGGAAGCCCGGGTTCTTGCCGGCGATGTGTGGCATCTGTAGCTGGGGTGCCCGGGGCTTCCTCTGCCTCTACTGCCCAGAAGCCCTCCCTAGGCCCAGGTTCTTCGGGATTTGATCTTGAGTTTCAACAGCCAGATACATTTATCTCTTCCAATACGTTGCCCCTGTCTCTCTGCCTCTTGGGCTTGGGCTTGTTCAGAGGACTCCATGACCTCCAGGCACCAGCTCGATCGACCCCTTCTCTCCTGCGGGCCCAAAGACGTTCTCAGATAATGAGCCCTCATCCTCTGGTAGAACCTCTCTGGTGGCCCAGTGAACCCCCTGGTGTGTCTGCTTCAGGCGACCTGCCCTGCTTGCGCCCCTTGACTGACCCCCTCGCCCAAACCCAGCCCCCACCATCTGTTAGACACTTTCTTGTTTTTAAATTTTTTTAATGTTTATTTATTTTTGAGACAATATGAGGGACAGAGTGCAAGCAGCGAAGGGGCAGACAGAGGGAGACACAGAATCCGAAGCAGGCTCCAGGCTCCGAGCTGTCAGCCCAGAGCCCGACACGGGGCTGGAACTCACGAACCATGAGATCGTGACCTGAGCTGAAGTCGGACGCTTAACCCACTGAGCCACTCAGGCACCTCTGTTAGACACTTTCACAGCAGCTGGCCTAGGAGCATCCGTCTGTCCCACTGGGCTCTGAACTGCTGAGCTCAGTGATTACCTCTTTCTCGTTCACTGTTTCCCCAACGCCCAACCTAAAATGTAGTGGTGTGCTAATGAGTCTTGCATAAACAACTGATGATGTAAAAAGAACATTATGACTTTCACCCGAGGTATGATCCCTCTGACCGCACTGTCTCTGCTCCAAGCATTGATGCACGCTGCTCCCTCAGCTAGAAAGCTGGGCTTCCCGCCATGTTGACATAGCCTCTGGTTCTTTGAGTCTCGGCTTCCTGTCTTTTCTCCCAGACGTCTTCCCTGGCCCCTTTTAGACAGGGCCGGTGCCCCTCATATTCCAGGACCCCCTGTATCACCTGGTCCTGTGCTTACCCCACTGCGTTCTGATGATGCCTGGTCGTCTAAATCCTCTAGATCCAGGGCTTGATGGGAGCAAGGATTGTAACCTCAGCAGACAGCACTCAATAGATGTCTGCTGAAAGCACAGGAAAGCCAACTCAGGATCCTCCAAGCTCGGATGAGGGTTCTCATCACACAATCTGCTGAGTTAACCTCCGTAACACTCACCAGAAAGATTGCAAATTGTTGACATGTGTCTCCCGTGCCCTCTGCTGGACAGAAAGGTCTCCCAGTATGGCATCAGACATCCCAGTAAGTCATTCAGTGACTAGCGTGGATTAAGCATTGTTTAATCCTGTGTTTCCCATCAAAGGTCCTTGCATTGCAAGCAAGGCAGCTCTTAATTATGTAAGACAGTCTCACACGCTGCAGTTGCTTAGCAGGGTAACAGGTTTGTTAGCAAGTTGACACGGTTAATAGGTAGGTCCGGATCCGTCCACAGGTGCCTGACTCCAGACCCTGATTCACGACGCCGCACCAAATCTGTCCTAGACTTATTTAACACAGACAAATTTCTGAATTTCCAGCTGAGAGAACCCTTTTGGAATTTGTCCTCTCCTACTCATGACAATAGAGCTGCGTTTCACAAAATATGTTCTTCACGGTATTAATTTGGTGGGCGTTGGGTGTTGTGAGAATAACAGGTTCCACAGGCAATGAAGTTTGAGAAACACTTTCAGAAGGGCACGTGCAGAGGGAAAGGGAGCTGTAACAACGAGGACCAAACAAATCTGGAGAGGGAACCTCAGCCTTCACCCTGAGTTAGGAGGTGATGTTGGAACACTGGGGAGCAAACAGTGGGAGAATCAACAGAGGGGCTGGGCTGCCAGGAAGTGATTAAGAACCAATTAGCAATGATTAGGCCATCGACAAACACCAAAGAAGGGTTAGCAACTGTTCTTTTAACTTCTTAATAGTAGTAATAATAATAGGTTCTATTTATTTGGGGCTGATCGCTTCACATTATCTTTTGTAATTTTCACTATTATTGTCTCTCTTTCACGTATAAAATACTGAGGCCTCAAGAAGTTGGTTAAGGGGTGCCCGGGTGGCTCAGTCGGTTAACCATCCAACTCTTGGTTTGGACTCAGGTCGTGATCTCACAGTTCATGAGGTCAAGCCCTGCATCGGGCTTGGAATTCTCTCTCTCTCTCCCCCTCTTTCTCTGCCCCTCCTCTGCTTGCACTCTCCAACTCTCAAAATAAGTAAATAAACTTAAAAAAAAAAAGAAATTAAGTAACTTCCCATAAAACCATACAGCTAATTTATGGCCAGATTCAAACCCAGTTCTCTCTAGCTTCACGTCTTGTGATGTTAAGCACTGTGCCCAAAGCCTTCTGGGACTTCCCCAGGGTTTTGCAGAGGGCTCTCCTTTGTGAACGTCCAAACCAACGCCAGTCTCAAAGAGGGTACCCAGGAGCTCCTTAAACTGGTGTTCATGTTATACCACTTCCTTTATTTCCAGGGTTATCTCTTCTACCTAAATTAGTTATTTGGCCTAAGTACTGTACGCGAAAATTTTTTCCGGTATGATTTCAGTTTCTTAATTTTTATTAATATTTAAAAAAAATTTTTAACGTTTATTCATTTTTTTTTTAATTTTTTTTTCAACGTTTATTTATTTTTGGGACAGAGAGAGAGACAGAGCATGAACGGGGGAGGGGCAGAGAGAGAGGGAGACACAGAATCGGAAACAGGCTCCAGGATCTGAGCCATCAGCCCAGAGCCCGACGCGGGGCTCGAACTCACGGACCGCGAGATCGTGACCTGGCTGAAGTCGGACGCTTAACCGACTGCGCCACCCAGGCGCCCCTATTCATTTTTGAGAGAGAGAGAGAGAGAGAGAGAGAGAGGATGTGAGCAGGGGAGGGGCAGAAAGAGAGGGAGACACAGAATCTGAAGCAGACTCCAGGCTCTGAGCTGTCAGCACAGAGCCCGACACGGGGCTCGAACTCACAAAGTGAGATCATGACCTGAGCCGAAGTCGGACGCTTAACCAACTGAGCCACCCAGGTGTCCCATTAATTTTTTTTTTAATTTACCGACCTCCATACTTGACTTTTCTTTTTGATAGATTATTCACGTTGATGAAATAAGATCCATCTCCATAGAAGGTAGCCTAATCTGATCCCCTCCCGGAGTCAGGACCTGCCCTCTGAACTGAGGCTACTACAAAATTAACAGTCTACCCGAGTTTAAGTTGTTGTCGGTATCAGCATATCTGATTTCTCCTCGTTTTTCAATTTTCCGTCTTTCTCTTTTCAACAGATGTCGGTGCATTTTTTGAAGAAGGGATGTGGCTACGGTATAACTTCCAGGCATCGGGGGTCAGTGCCAAAGAGTCGGGCAGTAGGTCAGACATGTCCCCGGATCAGAACAACTCCCCTCCAGACCTGACCCACGAGGGGATCCACTTCAGCTTCAGTACCACCAAGGCACCCTGCATCCTTCTGTATGTCAGTTCTTTCACGACAGACTTCTTGGCCGTTCTCATCAAACCCACCGGTAAGGACAAGGATACCTAAGCTTTGCTACTTCATGTTGGGTGGACAGAATGTTCTAGAAAGTCTGGGTTGCTCTTGCCTCGTCCTTTATTCCCCACAGGACATTGAGCAAGTCACCCAAGTCTTTGAATCTCGTATCCCGGTAGGAGAGCCAAGAAAGGAACTTGTCCGTTGAGGGCTTTCTAGCAATGTGTCGTAGTAATCTTGCTAAGGCATGTCACGTTCTTTACAAGAATCATATTACATGAAAATGAGATGGCTTCGTATGTGTGATGATTTTTTTTTTTTGGTTCCTGTCAAACAAATACATTCACTGCTGTACTAAATAGAGATGAGCTTTGAAGTCGTGGAATTAATTTAATATAAATCAATGAATTACCCTGATTTATGATAATGTATCAGTAGGTTCCTAAAGAACATATATAACTTTCAATAGAAATAGAAAAACAGAAACGTTTTCATTCCTAATCCCTCTCAGAATTTTACATTCATAAAATATATCCCATAAAATAAAATATATTCATAAGGCTTGCTTAAAGCAGGAGTGTATTCACACTTGTAACGTCTGGGACCATCTTGATCTCCAAATAGGCATGGAACTCAAGAGGGTCAGAGCGAGACCACAGTTGCTGTCCTGTGTGAATACACCAGTGGGCTTATGATCTTTCAGAGAAGTCCAAGCAGTCCTAAAAATACAGATGCGTGCCAAACACTGAGGCTTCCATTCCTCTTAGAAAACTTTAATTCTAAGACGCTTAAAAGTTTTAATAAAATTGTTTTTTCAAAAATAGAAATATTGTAGGTCTATCAGGGAGCAGATGTCTCTCCTTCATTTCCCAGAGAGATTATATGGGCTGAGAAGTGGACACAACCTCTCTCATTGCCCCCACCTTCTTGCTCTGCAGTGATTATTCTTAAAGATCAGGATTGTCTCCCATGGGAGCAAAAATTATCATTATGAACCCAGGTCAGCTTGAGTTTTAAAACCTAGCAAATTCTTAGACTTCTTCTCTGGACAATTCACTCTTGGTTAAAAAGTTTAGAGGCAAGGGGCTCCTGGGTGGCTCAGTCAGTTAAGCGTCTGACTTCGACTCAGGTCATGATCTCACTGTTTGTGAGTTCGAGCCCCGTGTCAGGCTCTGTGCTGACAGCTCGGAGCCTGGAGCCTGCTTCGGATTCTGTGTCTCCCTCGCTCTCTGCCCCTCCCCTGCTTGGAGGGGCAGAAATAAGCCAAACACCAGACAAAGATGCAGCATGAGAATGTTCCTCTATTATTATTCTCTTATTATTTGTAAAATAAGTATGAGGAAAGACCTTGAAGTTCAACTGTAGTAAAATGGTTAGTAAAAGAGGGAGTCAGAATTTTAAGGACTACCATGTATCCATTAAGAGTAACATTTATGGAGAAAAGAGCGTGGAGAAAAAAGTTGTATGTAATTCAATGTTAAATGAAAAAAAAAAAAAAAAG